TCCGAATAGTTTGGATGTACGTATGGAACTTAACGCAAAGCCACTACTCATGTTCACTGCACCGAATGGAACAGTGCTCCACCTTCCCATTTCAGTCATCAGTCTCTCTCTGCTTTGATACAGACCAACACTACAAGCAACTCTCTGAAGAGCTATGAAATTCAGTGAGCCTTCACCCACCGATCACACTCCACATACCTCTGAGGAGTCACAGACGTCCTCTCAGACCCACCCTCATGACAGAGCCAAAAGCACAAGAAAACACAGCAGTTACCTACTGCCATCTCCTGCTATCGTTACATAAATCCACTGAGCTTAGCGCATGTTCTCGGAAAGCTCTCTCTCTCTGTCTGCACAACCCACCGACTTTTAAAATAAAATTTTGTATTGGAACTAAAGTTAGCTTCCTGGGATACTCATCTGTCAAACATCAATCATAAAGTTCTGTCAACAACAATCTCATATAAAATTCATTGTAGTACACAGTATCAAGTATGTATTTGTAAAGTAACAGAGAGGGGAGGAACCCAACAACTCTAGTAGAGCCATGACTAACTCAAGTGTAATATTAAACCACATACTGCTATATCAAATGCAGTAATATTTTACACAAAACTAGATAGCTAAAATTCACTCTAGTAAAAATTTCTTCACTTAAAATAAAAACTGATTTTTGATAACACCATTGCCTTTAGAACCTTCTGAAAAGTTTTGTAACTGTCTTAACAGAGTCAACACCTGCCTTTCTCTGAGAAAGAAAAACATTGTTCAAGTGTGCTTTGTAGTACAACTATCACTGACAGGTCGGTAAGGCAATGAAAGTCAAATTTCCTTTCAAAATTCCAGAACATAGCACAAGAACAAAAGAAATATGAACACAAAACGATTGGGTCTATCTCTTAACCACATACTTTAATTTATAGTAAATTACTGTATTCATTCAGAGAAGTGATCTTAGAACAACTGTTAACCTCATGTCAAGACATCTGCCTCTAAATAGGATATTTCAGTAGTTTAAGTCTGTATACTTACTACCATGGTAAGTATAGGCTTATTTCTTTTCATTAAGAACAATTATTTCACCAATGCCTTTCCATCCTTCTCTTTTTAAGCTAGTCAAGTTTTTAAGTTTTATTCAAAGCTTCTAAAATGAAACTAGATAACCCAACGAATCGCCACCATAGTCGTTTCATCATATTTCATTTTTAAAAGAAATTCCTAGAAGGCAAACCAAACCAGTCATGCACTGTTCTGTCAAGAAGTTATCAAAGCTAAAATTACAGTCTCTGAAAGCCTGATCCACTTTCCATCTGTCTTCAAAAAAGCAAGGAAAAAAAAATCATCATAAAACTCATAATTTATAGCTCACACAGCTTGCTTAAGCCAGAGAAGAAAAAACTGAAAATCAGAGATCTGCTGTGCATTGTCTTTAAAAATTTCATGTACCCATTCACACCAAGTTTTACAGCATTTTATACCTAGACTCAAGTAAAACCTCTTAATATATCTCCATTCTCAACATCCTTTCTTATTACTCAGCCACAGTTATTTCAATTAAGCAAACAGCTGTGGTTATACCTTGACTCCAGATCTTTCTTTCTGTCAACTGACAAATTGTCAAAATTCTTAAATGGCAGTCTTCCCAACATTTTTCCACCCCAATTGTCTACTTCAGGATTCATTTCCCCTGCCCTAAAACCCAGCAATCCTTTAACTAACGCAACTTTTTGCTGAGAAAAGTAGTAACATGATTTATGAAATAAGTATTTTAATTGTTTGATGACTTAAACTTGCTTTAAACAAGACAATTTACCTTTGAAATGCTCACTTGGCAAGTCAAATACCAACTACAGCTGAAAACACGTAGAACTTAACCCTCTACAAAATCACCCCAAACTCTGAGAGCTCTTAGCTACAGGTATCACCAGAATACGGAGTGTTATGGGCTCTCAGCAGCCTTAAACACTTGGAGCTCACCCCATAGCATAAGGGGCCTTTGAAAGCCAATACCAACTGAATCATGAATATATCAAATGTGAATAAATAATGGAATTAATTCCCCAAACTTCACGAGAACTATTAGGAATCTAATGTGTACCCTACCACATTACTTCCTTCTTCCTCACAAGCCACTTTCTACTAGTGGTAATAAAGACAAGCATTGCAATACCTTTGACCAGTTGATTCTCTTCATTGCAACTTCCAGCTTATACTTTTTCTTCTCCTTCATACCATGTGGTAATGCTGGTATCACTGGAAAGGGAGCAAAACCCCCAAGAGCTGGTGGCATCGGAGGCCCACCAAAAAGTGGTGGTGGAGGAGGAGGTGCTGCTCCACCAGGTAGCGGAGGTGGTGGAGGTGGTATTGCTCCACCAGGCAGTGGTGGTGGTGGAGGTGGTACTACGCCACCAGGCAGCGGAGGTGGTGGAGGCGGTGCTGCTGCCCCACCAGGCAGAGGAGGTGCTGGCGGAGGTATTGCTCCACCAGGTAGTGGAGGCGGTGGTGGAGGAGGAGGAGGTATTGTTCCACCAGGCAGTGGAGGTGGTGGAGGAGGAGGTGCTACTCCACCGGGTAGTGGAGGCGGTGGAGGTATTGCTCCAGCAGGTAGTGGAGGCGGTGGTGGTGGAGGAGGTATTGTTCCACCAGGTAGCGGAGGCGCTGGAGGTGGCGCATTCTCAGCTGGTAGGGGTGGAGGTAATGGTGCTCCTTCTGGCAGTTTAACTGTCAGGGCTGGACCCTGAAATATAAAAGAGAAATTATTTTTCATCCAGGGAGAGAAGGAGGTTTAATATCAAGTTGAACCAACAAGGATGTCATGTAGTCAACTGTACCTCAAGGAAGTGAGAAATGCAACCATTCTCCTATTTAAATGAGAAGCAATAACAACAGATGATATCATGTACCATAAAGCTGCCAACTAAACTGAATAACCTAGCATTTTTATAAAAACAAATTGTTTCTATTTTAAAGAAAATTTAATAGTAGCTGTAACATTTAAGTGAACAGAACAGCATTTTATTTCTTACCAATGCACAAAACATTTATCCCACTTAGGATATCCTGGCAAGCTGAGGCATCAGAGATGGTAATAACCACACTTAATTTTTACAACACTAAACTGCTGGTGGAAAATTCTCCACAGAAATCACTGAAGCAGCTATTGCAGTGCAAGAGTTATAGAACCACAGTTGTTCATAACTATCCCAACATCCGTTGGGGTGAGGAGGTGGGAGTGGGGTGTTGGGGATGGGTGTGTGCGTGGATCATGCTTTCTTTTAAATCCATCTGCAGTTGTTTCTGTTTTGATAGGAAGAAAGGGCAATTACAACATCTCTTCCAATAAGTTTTAAAAGGAGAAATGAAGAGAAACAGCACCATGTTAAACCATTAGAGAGGTTTCTTTAGTGATAACACGATCCTACCCTAGTAGGAATTCCTCACAGATATTTGTCCTTCAAAACTGTTAAAAAGCAGCACACCAGGAGCTATGCACAAGCCTTTATATGAGTTCACATTCTATTTCCCTACTAATTTTTTATTAAAAAAATATGTAATATAAGATGTTCATTTAATATGATTTGCATATTTCACTACACCATTATTTACATTTTCTAGTCTAAAGGAAGCAAGACTTTGTTAAAAAAGAAACTGAGAAAAATCTGAGTGCATGTAAAAATAAGCACCACAGTATATTGTACGGGGAGCGTAACACTAGAGAAAAAAGGCATTGATACTAGAAAGTTAATACGTATCACCTTTAATTGTACCAAATAGCCATTAAAATCGGTAAGAATGAAGTATGAACAAAAAGTATCTGTGTGTGAAAGACCTTGCGTAGTATTGAAGGGGTAGGAAATAACCCAGTCTGAGGCAAAAAGATCAAATTACAGTATCTGTTGATTCCTAAAGGGTATAAACGACCTGTCTAAAACGCAATTCATTGTCATTAAACAAAAGAAACCCAAGAGACATGGTGAGGGCTAAACAGGCAGCATTTCTTGTCCTTTCTCCTTCACTAGTGATCTGGGACAGGTCACTTGCAGATACAGTTTCGGTGCTTGGTAGCAGAATTCAGGAGAAAATCAATGCAAATAAAATCAGCTTTGCTGAAATTAAGTATCATCTTCCACTTCCATAAGGTCTTGCATTTTTTGTTATATTTACCTATGATACAGTATAAAGCTAGTGTAATATTCATTTTAGAAACGGCTGCAGTCTGACACCCAGAGCTCAAAAAAAATTTGTTATCAGCTGCATGCACATGCTGAAAGGTATGTATATTGTGTTTGGATGCATATGTTCAAAGGTACGTATACACTGTGCATGCACAGCTATCATGATTTCCACCTTTGCAATTCAAGTGTAAAGCCTTCCGAAACCCACATTTTTTTTGCAAAACATACAGAAAATGAACACTTTCTGCAAGACATACAGAAGTAGCAACGTTAAAGCATAAACAAGTACTTGGAGAAAAAAGACTCAGGGTGGACTCAAACTCTTCATAGCCTAGGAAAATTTTTTCCTCCATAAAGCAATTATCTGCGACAGAGACTAAATATACTACTAGTTGAAAAAATGTTACCTCCATTAACTAACCTTAGTAATTTATGCTGGCTTCAAAAACCAATACAACATACGTTTCAAACTCCATGGAGACAACATACTCCTGGGCAATTGCTTTCCAACACTTGAAAAAAAAAAATTCAACTGCGGAACTTATTGCAATTTAGTTTTCTTACCTGCGTTCGTAGCTGTTTGATTTCCGTTTCAAGTTCTTTGATTTTCTCTTCTCGTTTCTGAAGCTCTGCTTGTGCCTCTTGTCGAGCTGTGAACTCTTCATCAAACTGTAATTTCACCAACACAGAAGGTTTGTCCATTTACGACCACACTAGATGTTATATTTTCAGGAATTCTTTGAACAATATCACAACTAGAGCAATAGATGCACTTTTTAAAAGGAAAAATTTTCTTCTAGTACCATGTAATTTCTTCCATCAGTAAGTCACAACACAGAACCACTCAGATACAACTACTTAGTACCGCTGTAAATTCAATAGGTTTTTTCCACCCCAACCAAACATTGCAGACTTCTCAAACTAAACTCGAGTACGCATCTCATGCGGTGAGCTAAAATGTGGAGACACGTGCAGCTTCAGCAGGCCCATCCATAAAATGGCATAAGAAAGGAAGTATCCATATAAGTTCTTGATGTCCCCACATAAAACAGAAGCCTAGTTTACAACAAGATTGCAAGAAATTTTCTGTACATTTTCATCCTGCTACTGTTTGCTAGGTGTAAGAGACTATTAGCATCTTAAATGCTTCTGTTATTCACTCTTCCACAGGACAAAACAACTTATCACTAGGAAGAACATGTGTTGACTGCAGTTAACAAAGTACATTACAATAAATAACTCTGCCAGGGAAGCATCACAACAATTTGCTTTCTATAAAGTTCAGACACCATAACTCCTATTAAAAATACACTCATGTTTACTACTGAAGAGAGAAAAGCTAACGACTTATTTCAACCCTTCTTTCAAAATTTGTAATCATCATGTTCAAGAACACGTACTGCCTACTGGCCTGCAAAATGCTTCTCAGACCAGGTCAGCAAAAATCAAAATTTTGAATGCTTTTAATACACAACAACACAGTACATGAACTTTAGTATACTATTGCAGCTAGTACAGTACGTTCGGCATTTAATATCCTTGAAGAGGTTGTGATGAGCTGAGATTAGCAAATTAGCCATTAACACAATCTAGGGAACAGGAATGTAAGTAACTTGAGAAACATGTTGTATCAAGATATTTTCAGCACAAACACCAATAGTGATAGAGCAGAAAGCTAAGCGTCAATTTCTTTACAAACGCCTCCCAAAAAATATTACTGCAAGAAATATACTAAGCTGGAATTCTTCCTACAGAAAACACTTGAGAAGTCTAACTTCTCCTGTATGTAGTAATAAAGAAAAGTGCCTATGACCGAAATAGAACTTGGTTATCAAGTTCCTAATAAAAGAGAACCGGGCCAGAAGAATAAAACTGTTAGCAAAACAGGTTTCAAAATGCACTGTAAGACTCCTAAACGTGAATAAGGAAATAAATCATTCTCCCTCATTACATAATAATTTATCATGGCATCATAAGGAAATTAAGCAGTATTTTAATGTTAGCAGCTCTGTGCCTAAAGAGTCGATGCTTTATCAGACATTGAATAACACTGCTTTTCATTAAGTTTCTTCAGGTTCTAAAACAACACTAGATGAAGAGTTATGAATATTTCTTCCCCCCCCCATTTTTTTTTAAGCATAAACTTGCACTTTGGGTATTTAACCATGACTAAGTGTTTCACAACAAAATAGCAACACATGGAATTGTTCCCATCAGTTATCTACAGCAGAGGAATACAAGCAAAGATATGTACACCTAATACTACTCATCTGCTTTTCAATTCAGAGTAAGCTGGAATCTGAGACTTGGACATGCACACACACGCTGAAAAACTCAACATCTCCAGAGCTATTAAACATGAAAGAACATCGTGCCTGTGCAATACACTATTTCGCAGTTCCCACTAAGCTTGTACTGTGAAACAGGTCTACGGTGCTCCTGTCAGACTTCTGTTCCATTCCTTAAAAAGAGGGAGGATTAGGACTTACTTTTCTGGAAAATTCTGCTGCTTTCTTTTCAGTTTCTTCTACTTTAGCTTTGTCCACACATGCATCTAAAATTTAAATAAAATACCACACAGAAGTCAGGTAAAATGTATCACAACTCTGAGGTGCCTTCCAGCCATAATTACCCTGTAAACCCATGACACAAAAGCAACAGACAAAAAATATTATTTTATTATATAATTCAACTATTCAAATATTTGGTCAATCATTTTGATGAGCAAAATCTGTAAATATAAAAAAAGCGGTGAGGACACATGACCAAGAAAGTTAGAAAGTTAAAGATGAATCATCATAGCTGTTCTTTAGTTTTACTTAAAGCTAACCTCAAATACTTGTAAAAGATTATAGAAAATATTCTTAGAATGTACCATATAACAATTACAAACCCACTAAAAACTCACAGAATTTATGAACAAGCAATTATTGGTTATTAAGACTATCATACTGAGGAAGAAGTCAAGACAAATTTGGAGAAGGAAACTTTATCAGTATCACTTTACTAAAGGCTGCAGAGATTGATCTCGCCTTCTCCACAAGTATACCTGTAGCTTAGGTGTGTATTTCCAGAAAAATGAAAAAATTCACACAGTCAATTTAAGTTTAAACAGAAGCATACAAAGAAAAATGTGCACTTCAGTAAAAGAAGGCAAAATTGCCTACAGTATACACACCAATAAGATGAGTGAAATCCACGTCTATTCTTCCTCTACACTTAAAATCTGGGTCCATGCCACTGCAGTGCAATACTATCTGTGATACACATTCTTCTATTATCTTGTAATACTGAGGTCTAAAAAAAAAACAACAAAAAAAACCACCAACACATTTTACAAGGTAGTAAGAACATGAACAATCATTTATGCGACATGGAGGGGTGGGAGGAAAGGGGAACTAACTCCTAATATATGAATTACACAGTTGCCAGTAAAAGGATCAAGTTAAAAGTCTTATTTGTACTCTGGTTAATATAGCACTGCTGTCAGTTTCTCAGAAGGATACCTGTAGAAGTTCAGGACTCCACAAAATATTGTGCACTCTTCATTTATCCTTTGCCAGACAATAAAACAAGGTCTTTACTATTTTCATTACATACTGCAAGAATTATTTAGCACATCCTCAACACAGTGAATTCCACCACTGGCTACAGTAACAGGATTTAATTACTCAGAAAATCAGTTAATTACTAACCTAATTGCGTGATAGACACTGCCATACAACACCGAGAACCTGTAAGATGAGGGGACTCTGTGCTTAAAATTATTAGTTCTTACCAGTACAAGGTATTATATCTCAATTTCACATACCACAGAGCTCCCAAAGCAGGAAACTCTCAAACCTAAACTGATGATATTCCAAACCTCCAAATTAAAAAAAAAAACAAACCACCCCAAAACATATAAAAATCTAAGATTTCTCAGGTTATATTTTCTGCTTAATTTTATCATATTCCATATCAATTGTTTTTAGCATCCCTTTACAACAAACAACTACTTCTTAAACCAAGATTTTGTATGTGGTGCTTTGACACTGCTAAGACACTATGAGGTGTACGTATAAGAGACCCTTACGCTGTAAAGACAAGATACAAGGCACTGTAGAACTATTTTCAATTATTAGTTGTACAACTAGCTTTCAAGTTCTTTGAAGTCTTGAAGCTATCAAACTTGAATAAAGGAAAAAGTGCTCAATGAACTAAGAGATTCTGGGTAAGGTTGTTAGAATACGGTTCAAGTCTTTGAACTAATCATTATTATATTTAACAAGATCTTTTCAATATTAACATTGAGTACAAAAAAAACCCAAAACACCCACATCACTTACAGAGCAACTATTCATGTGTGATTCTGATTCTGAGCTACTCAGTTTACCAGGGTCTTGATTTCTATTCTTCTCCCTACCCCCTCCAAAAATCAAACCTGACAGCTGACACTTACCGGACATAGTAATCATTCCTGATGAGAAGGAAATGTTGCAGAATTGATAAGAAGTAATTTTCAGAAGAAGTATCTTTCAACATATTATACAGCAGATGAAATACTTCATTCACATCAGTGCAAATATTGTTAAGGAAATACAAGGACTCAAAAAACAAAATTAAAAAAAAAAAAAAAAAAGAAGAAGAAAAATCACAACACCCATCCCAAACCCAGTTCCCTAGATGTTGTTCATATCATCCAGGTAAAATCATTCAACACTCTAAACTACTACCCTTATTAGTAAATATCATTTTTCCACTAAGATTATCCACAGAAACTGTCCCCTGTTTAACAGTTAAGACGTTTCGTTACTACTCAGAAAAATGATGCTACATATTTATTATCATGGAATCCTGTAAACATATTTCACACAAAGCTTTCATTTCCATTCTGCAGTGAGCCAAGCTATTGGCAAATACACTCTAATCAATCATTTTAATTTCTTAAAGAAGAAAATTACCTGCAATTACCCATTGTGTAATGCAGTAGCATTACTTGTTAGCGATTTTATATTCCTCTCGTTGGCTGCATCTACCTTCTTCTGCGTAAGTACCAGCTACTACTCTGCTACTCTTTTAAAAACTGCAAGCAATCATTCTGAACTTACAAAACTTTAAATTTACTGCTTCTTCACAACTAGGGAAGGCATGCATCTCAAAGTGCTTTGACAACTACTAGAAATTTTGTTCCAAGGTAGTAATCAAAGCTAATTTTTCTTCCATCTTATAATCCTCCATGAGTGTATATCTTCAGGTGTTACACATCACAGTTTAGCTCAGTAAATGTTGTTTATTAAAGATTAATCCACTTCCCAATTACTTACGTTTGACATGCAAATTTAACTACTAATTTTCTAAATAAGTTTTTAACAAAAACCAAGTGTAAAGAAGTCTGTTTGAGAAAGTTGCGGATAAGATATGAACTGTGGCAAATAAACTACACATAGAGCATTCTAACTTCCATTTAATTAAGTTATTAAACGATGTAACACGTTAGAACACCATTTTTATAAAGGATATTCCATTTCAGCTCTGATATCATTGAGACGATGTGACAGTTCAATTAAGTCTTCTTCTTTGTTCTCATCAAACACTTTCAGCTGAATATCGAGCTCTTCATTATCCTTATCTTTCAAGCCCTATTTTTCAAGGCATAGCATATCTTAATTCTCCCTTTTTTAAAGAAAGAATTCCCCCTCTTTCAAAGATTATATCACAAAAAAATATAAAAGACAGTAACCTTTTTAACAGGAGTAAGCTGTAACTCAGTGCCTGGGGCTTTTTACTATAATTGCACAGCTGAGAAAACTTAAGGCAAAATATCAGCACTTATAGCAGGTACGGGCTGCAGAACAAACATGAAGCCTTCTAATTGAGTTGAGTTCTTTTAATGAGACACAGTCAGCAATTTATGCTTGTTAATGTCAGAGTTTCTTTAAAAAGGTTTTTATTCCTGACAAATTCAAAACTTTGTATCTTAAAAGTTAAAGCAGTATAAATTGTTTCAGACAAATATAAGCAGGTACTTTTTAATTTCTCTCATCTTTGCGAGAAACTGCTGAGTAGCTTAATTATACACATTCTTGATGTAAGCATCAGAATGGTTTCTTGGTTAAGAGCTATAAATCTACCCCAAGTCACAAATATTCCAACAAAACTACCCATAAAGGCATAATTCTGTGCAGTTGCATGAAGATATGCAGTCTCAAAGAGAATTAAGAAGTTGATTTGATTTTTCCCCTAAAAACTCCAAGTTTTCAGAAGGCAGATTAAAGAAAAACAGATTTCACAGAAAACAACAGGAATGGCATACACAAAGAAAAATAATCTAAGATTGGTTCCACAGCCAGACTCACATTCACTGCAGGTGCTTCGAGCTCATTATGCTAAATTTGATGACCACCCTAATTTAATTTCTAATATATTAAACTTATTTCAACTACAATTCTACATAGCTCGTGAGAGCTAAATTTGTGACTATATAGAATGAAAGCAGATTTGGATTGATAATCCTTTCTGGGTCTGGCCTTGCTCACATTTGCTACTCTCAATAAAACAATTTGGTTTTCTTCAAAAATCAAACTGTTCACTATGATCAATTCCTATAAAGAAATTACTTACAGGCAATATTTTCTTCAGGCCACAACGTAAAAACTCATTTCTCAAGTGTATCCTGAAATCAAGATCTTCTGGAGATGTAACAAGGGCATTGATGAGCTGCATACATGCTACCTGGTTCCGGAAACACAGGCAAAAAGTCTTAGTAGGTAAAGAATGAGAATAAATACTGTCTTTGACTATTTAAGTTTAATTATAAAACCATATGTCAAGAGCCGGAAATTATTTATTATGCAGCACACATGCAATGTTTGACTTTGGTTAACCTAAGCAACATCAAAAGCTCCTCTATTTTCATTTTATGAGTGCTTCCACTATGTCAAAATTGTATCACATAAAGGATCATACTTTACTTCAGAAAGTTATTCCCACACTACAGTTCTACACTGCAATTCCTTCTTTCTCCTCAGTATTCACCAATTTGAAAACAACCCGGTTTTACAAGCAATCAAAAATTTTAAAAAAAATAACACATATAATATAACACATATAATAACACATATAAAATAACCTATACACATAATAATTCACATCACCAGGTGTCTTTTCTACTCCTGCACAGCACTTCTGCAAAATGCCTGAAGTCTCAGGATACTGGCTGATGCTTTAATTGAACAGCTGTGCACTTTAATTGATTTACTTTAAAACAGGTAGACAATAGCATAATGCCAAAAGTGCTGATACATGCTAAAAGGCTAAAATGGGACTCCAGGGAAATAACAAGTTCGGTAGAAGATGCTAACTGCAAATAGAAGTAGCATTAGAGTAGAAAAAATAAATAAATAAAAATCAATAGGTGCAGAGAAAAGAAGTCAGATAAAAGTATCCTTCCTGTTTTAATTACATTCATTATTTTGTTTTAATGGATCGCTGTATGGAGTCTTAAATTTCTATTAAAACACTCTATCCCTTTATCCTGCTGTATCTTGAGATAATGTATTATCATCATGTTCGCTTGAACGATTCTTGTTATTTTACTACTATGACATGACTTAACAAGCCAAAGTACATGTCCAATCTGAAATTAATAGAGAGAAGAGACACCATCTGCTCCGATTGCTTATGCCAGAAGAGACTCTGTCTTAATGGCTTGCACTAATACATTATGAGTAAAAAATGATTTTGTCAGAAACAAGTTAATGAGTCTTGCAATTGTACCTTTACTGATGTGTAAGTGAGGTTTGCGGGGGGAGGGAGGCAGGAATGTTGGGTGGTTGTTTTTATTTGGTTGTTTTCAATCAACAAGGTTACAAAGTGGGAGACCACTTCAAAATGAATTCTTTTGTGATCACATTATTAAGATTAGGATGCCATTTATAGAAACTTATTAAACATCATTAACTCATCAGCTCTGAAGCAACAGCTACTGACAGTAAACATAGCATTAAGACAACTATAGTTGACGTATATATGATCTAGTAATGGAAAAAAGTATACCTTCCATGCAGGTATACCAGCACTGCCTGCATTCTACTTTATCTTTCACCCATGGTACCTTAGCAATACAAAATTAGTATGCATACTCTATTATGAGAAGGAAGTAAGTCAAAGTCACCCTTTAGGAGGATATTCGATCACTTGGTCTCTATGCAAATACGTGCAGTTACCAAAAAAAGGCAATTAAAAAAAGCTTGCAATCTTAACTATTTCTTCATTCAGTAATATCACAAAAAAGTGACTAATACTGGAAGTATGTTCCTGTCACAGGTACTTCAAGTGCATGCTCAGTTATGGCAATCCAGTTGTGTTTCTAACTTAAACTCAAATACCTGCTCCAAGAGCCCAACAAAAACTTGTTTTGTCTTTTTATAAATATATTGCTTTGTTAGAATCAGTTTGAAGCCATAAGTACAGGAGTTTTTGTTAACTTTGGGTGGGCCCAGACTGGGGAGAAATGGGGTGTTTAAACAAGCAATGCAATTTGGCACTTTTTCGTGCTTCTTCCCTAAACCCAAAAGATATACAGGGAGCATTGCCTCCAGCTCCTCAAACTCCAACTTCCTCAGGTCTCCAGGAACAGTAACTAAAACATTCCAGAGAACAGACCGAGAACTGTATTTTCATTGTCCCATTAAACCACACAAAATTCCCAATCAAGAAGATTAAGCAGTAACAAAGTCTGCTTTTGCAGACTTCTTACCTGAGCATTATATCTGGCATCCAAAAAAAGGAATATCATTGATTACTCTCTATTAAGGCCAACATTTTTTTATTCCTGTTTTTGGGACAAGGAGGTGAGTTGCTCGGTTTCACACTGCTAACATTAGAAGCAGACCATTTCTATTTATTTTTCCTCTCTTACTGAACCCTGAAGTAATAGCACTGAAAGATTTTTGCCGGTGAATAACTTAAAGAACATAAAATAATATACAGTCTTCCAGTATTTTAGATTATTTCTGAAGTATTAGTAAGCATACAAAAAAGGAAACCCACCTGCAGCTGTAAGAATTCATGGTTTTCCAGTCCTTCAACAATCTGAGAAAAACGTTCCCTATTGTGCCTCTCAGCAGCAGTTGTTATAGCACCTAAAAGTTTGTCCAAACTAAGAGAAGGATAAACTGTCAAAAAAGCATACCACAGCCAATTTTCCCATTTTAAAGTTACTTAGCCCACTATTTACAGAACAAGACTTTAGTACTGATAGAGAATCTGAATGCATTTATCTACATGTACCTATATAACACTAAAAACGAATCAAGAAGCAAGTGTTAAAACATCTATGAGATAATGCTGAATTTAAAAAAAGTTGAATGAATCTCTAAATTATTGTGACATTCAGACAAGAAATTATCAATGAGGAAAAAAAAAAATCACTACCTTTCCAAGATTGTGCACTAGGTAGTAGCTGATGTGTTGAACATCTGAGAATTCTAAAAAATTGTCTTTTCAGAAATCAAAATGGTTTTATCTATTTATCGCATAGAGAACATGGAGTCTGTCATTTCTAACCTTCAGTAAACTAAGTCACTCAATAATTAAAAGTAAACATATCTTTGTTTTAAAAAGCTCACAAACATGTGCTACGTAACTCCATAACTCAAACTATTCAAAACTTCAGCTATAAACGTAAAGTTTTTGCCTCAGTCAAATTGGTTATATTTAGGTAGAGAGGTGATATTTTAATAAAATCCATACATATATTTCTATATTATCTTCTAAACTAACGAGAAGTTTTGACATGCAATGTCAAATCAGTAATTTTCAAATAGAATAAGTCCATCTCCCCTCATTAGGGAGGATGCCCCAGTCTCAACCCTCTTCACAGTAACAGCCTCGATAGTGCTCCATGCTAACACACATTGTTCTAAAGGGTCTTTAAACCTGACAGCTTGTCTTGTGGTAATTAAAACTTCACAATTCCTGATCATACTCAGAGATATATGAAATGTTTGGTTTTTTTTTTTTCAGCAGTCATTTATGACCAGGTATGGCTCATTAAGGCTCCTCTCTAGTAAGCAATCACAGTCCCTTCAGACCCTCCACGTAAGTCCCAGTCTGTAGATCTCTGCTCATTTGCTCGTCTGATTTAATATTGGATTAATGCATTAAAATATGTAAAAGTCCCTTTTCATTTAAACTACATTAAGAAAGTAAAGACTTAGGTTACATTTGCTTCACTGACAAGTTTTTTCACCAATGTTCAAACTGACAACTCACAACCATTCAAAAAACAAACATTTTGTTTCAATATCTTACTTACATATTTTCCTCTCCAACAATGCAGATAGCAGAAAGTATTTTCACCGTTTCAGTCATCATGTGTGGTTGCTTTGGATCAATCGCTCTTGATAACAGCAAGAGACTTCTTTCATCTCCTAGAATCCTTTGCAATCCGTACTTCAAGAAACAAAAAGTTTCTAGTGAAAAGACTGTATTTACCTCAAATTCTCATCACCATCTTTGGGCTTTAGATCCTTAGTAATCTCCTCACACCTCCTCCCCGTCATAGGAAGTTTGGCAACACTCTCCTAAAACCCACTGGCTATTAACACTTGGGGACACAAGTCAGTCTTCCTGATCTTACATTTGAGGCTTTCTCCTAAGAAAGTTATTTTATCTTGTAAAATCAGGTATCCACCAAAAGAGAAATTAGTTTTTATTTTCCATTTGTATCTGAAACACCTTAAGAGTATGAAAAATTTGTGCACTTTTCTCCCCTGTAAGAGCTCCTGGCAAGTCAAAATAATATTTTCCACAAAATTACCAACCAATGTTGAAATTATCTTTTGAAACAACTCTTTTTTTTATTTTATATTCTATTTCACTTTCTGTACATATCCAGAAAGGTTTATAAATAAGAGTCTCAACAAAAAGTTACACTAAATTTAAGACCTACATTTTCAGCTGACACTGGATAGACAAGCTCTCCTTCCTTTTCTGGGCTTCAACATGCTACACAGATCTTAAAGTAAAAAAAACCCCAACCACGCTAAAAGTATTTTAGTTTAAAGTATTTCTTACCTTATTGTTCATAAATGCTTTGAGGCACTGGATAAGTTTATGTTGATTCTTCTTATCAATACTTTCTTGCCTTGAAAGAGAGGAGGAAAATAACATAAGTACAAACAATCTTCACAAGCTCCCCCCTCTCCTCCCTTCAAATGATGCAAGTCCTTACTGTTTCTTGTCCAGAAGCTTTTCCAATTCATCCAACAGAAGTCCAAGACCTTCATGTCCAAAATTGTTAACCCAGCTAGGAAAAGGAAGAAAAATGCTTTTGATTATTTCTTAATCGAATGCAAAACTTGCGAAGTTACGTCTCCAATACTGCTTGTATATCTCTTCATAGATGATGTTTTAAGTTGTCACTTCCCAGGAAGACCTGATCAACCACTAAGACAAATGCTTGGTTCCAACAACTAGAAGTCGTTGAGAACCACTGTGAAAGGTGCAAAGATATTGCAGACAGTTGCAAACATTTCACTTACCCTTTTCCAGTGTGCTGAGAACTACTTTCTTGTGCCAACAAACATCAGCATAATTACTCTGGTTTCAAAAAAACCCCAGAACGCTTTATTGCTTAGCAAAAACAGCATGATGAAAACTACAGCAGAAATTATCCCTTACCTGACTGGATTGCTAGTTAGAGACACTCTCAAAGACTCTAGACAATTAAGAAGCTTTTCCTCGGAAATTCCAGATCGCAATTCATGAATATACTCTTGTGAGGACAGTGTGCATTCATGCTTGCTGTTTTTCAGTCCACCCTATCACAAAAGACAGAATGCTGCTTAATGGTATAGTGAACACAGTAGTGTTTAGATGATAACATATAAGGCACGTATTTCCGTGTGAATTTAAAAAAAACCACCATTTTCCCTGTACAAGTATTAGAGACACCTGACTTGACTTTGATTTGTCATAAGTCTTCAATAGTTTAGGTTTTGCATCACTTCTTCAAGTAAGGTACATGGACTACATCTTAGATATAAGAACTTAATTCCCTCATTCAGTTGTATTAACATGTTTAACTGCTACACACTCTCTTTTAACATCTACTTCACAACATTGTAGTAGAAACAACCATAAACAGAAGAGACAAAAAACCCCCCACACTTGTTATTAAGCTTGTCTGATCATTCTCACTATACCTGTCTTCCATTTCAAAAAAGCTGTGCATTATTACTACGGACATATCCCAACTCTAAAACTAATTCTCTCTTCTCCAAAAGAAAGGAAAAAGATAAACCACTGAAAATTACTTTGAAAAGGAGCTGTAATCCACCAATTGTTAAATCAGTGTTTTTAAACTCATGCAACTGCATGACTCGATTTCTTGCTGTACCATAATTTGGTTTGGCCACTAACAGAGATCTCTAGAGAATCTTGTTTGCTACAAAAGAATCATGGAAGACTTGACAAAGTGTTCAGATATCTCCCTGAAGTGCCATTACAGAAGAATAGCTACTTAGAAGGTATTTCAGTATTAAAATACCTGATAATCAGTTTCAGAGCTGTAGTATTCACAACCATGAACAATATATAAAACACTGTATCACGGGTGCAACTAATCTTTCGTACAGCTCTGACAAGTGTCATGGTTTAACGCACTCAGCTAGCAGCAAACGCAACACAGCCGCTCACTCACGGCCCCTCCACTCCTCCCCGGCATGAGGGAGAGAACTAACCAGGTAAAGGGAAAAGAGATTCATGTCTTGAGGTAAGAACGATTTAATAACTCAGCTACAACAAAACTGAAAACAAGAATGATAACAGCAACATATACAAATATGCACATGAGTTATACACAGTAAACTGCTCACCGCCCAATGACCGAGGCTCAGCCTGTTCCCAGATAACAATCCCAGAGCAGAGAGAACCCCAAAACCACAAACCAAGAAAAGAGACAAGAGCCTGAGAGTCCAAGAGAAAGAGCCAACCAAGAGGAAGAGGACGTCTGGACAGATCCTCAACTATATGCTGGGCATGCCATGCACGGTATGGAATATACCATTGGCCAATTTGGGCCTCAATCCTAAATCTAAGGTCAAATCCTAAAACAGTCACCGGGGCTGCGCTCCCTCCCAGCTTTTTCCTGCACCTGCAGACACTGGCACAGCAGAGAAGTCCTTGACTGTCCTGGCAGCAGCTGTAAGCATGTGATCAGCCGTCTCCTCAGGACAAATCCAAAACACAGCCTCTCACTAGCTACTATGAAGAAAGTTAACTCTGTCTCAGCCAAAACCAGGACAACACTTTGCAGAAAAGTAGGCTTATCTCAGAACAGTGATTATGATTAATACTCAGTTCCTAAAGCTCCTTAGCTCTAAATGGTCTGTTGAAGAGAACTTGATAAAGATGTCATGGGTGTAAAGGCAATGTGAAAAGTGCTTGACTTGGAATAGAATTTATATGTATTTGGTTTTAATTGTGTCAAGAACTTCGCTGACTACTGTAATGTTCTAACTGTCTCTCTTTCAAAAAGCTACACTCTTAATGAAGTTTCTGGTTCGTTCTATTCAAAATTTTACTATTCATTTTCCAAAAATGACACTAAGTATGGCTGATGACAAAATGACTTGTCTGCATTTAACTTTTTTGACCTACATACATTCCAGTATTCAAGCATATAACAGAACTATGTCAAGTTCATAATATACTTTCAGATTGTTTGTCCTTACCTCAGCAAAACAAAAACCTGACACAGAATGCATTAAGACAACAGAGTCCTCCAGATTATGTCAACTTTGAAGATGGCTCTGGCTGACACGCATAGCACCTTGAGCTGGACAACGCACGCCAGTTATGAATCAAAGGATCAAAACAACAAAGATGAGTAAATAAGATTCAAAGGAACTACGTTCTGTCACCAGAAACCTCCTAAACAAAGAGATGCTCTTTCACTGAAGGAAAAAGAAATAAACAGGTGGAGGTTATCTTCATAAGAGTAAGAACTGACTTTAAATCTGGTAAGTATACTAGCATTACACACTAAAAATTATCATAGTTCAGAAAAATCATCACTCTGATGATTTACCACAAGGTAGAGAACTAGAAAACAGGAACAGCTTTATGTTATTCATTGCATTAGATGGAAATGGAAAAAGAGTATATGTGTAACTGATGTACACCATCTGCACAATACTGGATACAGTTTTTGTCATTTCAGACAACAGCTGTTCCCCAAACCCTAACAGTAAAAGAAGAGAAGGGAAGCACTGCTGTAAGCCACAAAATCTAGAAAAAGATGAAGTAACGGCAACTTCAGTCAAATGCCATTACATGTTAAGCTAGACCCCAAAAAACACTCTAGAATACAAGATATATTTGTTTTTTCTAAAAAGATTATTTCCTGTGGTTAGCCCTTCCACCATAGCCTGCTGCAAGCTCCAAGGGAGATTCCCATTCAGATGAGCCATTTAAGGTCTTTGCTACATTTTCTTCCATATTTAAACCAAGGTGTGCTCTTGCTCCCTCCTCTTTCTATGCATCCAGGACACTAGTGAGGCCCCCCTCCTCTGCCTAGCCTCTTGTTTTCAGAAGACCTACGACTCCCTTGTTAAAACAGGTTAAAAGTTAGAAGAATTGGAAGCATGATCTCCTAAGCCTCCTTACAGGACAGGAGTACTTCTTTATTGTTTCTATGACTGAGCACCTTTAACTGCATAGCAATAAGGAACCATCTCCTCTTCCTTTTTTCCCCTCTTCAAAACAGATCATCACTAAAGATGGTTCAGAAAAATCCATTCTCAAAACCTTTTACCCAAATACTCCAGTTCATGCTAGAGAATGCTCA